AAGTACGATTGCATGGTATAGATATGCCAAGACCCGATCGTTAAAATTTGTTAAATGGCATTATTAGAAGAAGCAGAGAAATTCACTCTGAAGTTACAATAGTATTATACCAAAGTTAATTTCCTTGTGTGTTATGGTTGTGTACAATTTTAACACTGCCGGAAGCTGGGGGAAGACATTACATAAAAATCTGTACTGGTTTTGTAATTTTTATAAGTATGAAACTATTTCAAAATCAAACGAGTCAAAATAGAAAAAAAATCTTGTATGCATATGAACTCCAAATAATTTATGTAGATACTTGAAGAGGTGGAGCATAATTTCACACTTTTTAAATGTGGGCTCTGAGTGCAGACTTCCTTCCAAAGAACACTCTATAGGAAAAGGAGGGGGGGAGAAATTTGTTTTTGAGAAACTAGACAGATGCTCACTCAGGAAGGCAAGCAAGGTAACATCATGTTGGTAGGAGCAACAGAATCAGTTTTACATCTGCTGCTTTCCTTTCTAAAATGTATGATCCATCTACCTATAGGAACAAGAAAACAACAACACAATAAAACAGATAAATCTCAGAAAAGGGCTATTCTACAAAATACCTGACTGGAGCTCTTCAAAACTGTGAAGGACACCAAAAAAAGCAAAATCTGAAAAGGTGTCATAGCTAATAGAAGCTAAAGAATGTGAAAATTAGCTCCATTATCCCATCCTGAGTAGACCCCTGGGAAAGAAAGAGATATTAACTAAAAACTGAGGACATCAAAATGAAGTGTGGACCTTAATGAAAACGTAACGATGTTATTTTATTAATTATAACAAAGGTAACAATTAACTTCTGTGCACTGTATTGTACCATTGTATTCTCGCAGTATTGTCAGGTGCTAATAATAAAGCAAACCGGGCTCAGTATTCATAGAAACTCCACAATTTTCATAGCTTTTTGTAAATCTAAAGTGGTTCTAAAAATAGACTTTTAAAGTGAAGGAGTGTGCATTACGAGATTCCATTTTGTATAATGTTCCTGAAGTAGCAAAAATTTGGAGAAGGAGCATACCTACGTGGTTGCTAGGGGCGTGGATGGTGAGGAGAGGTGTGTCGTTAGCATAGTGACATATTTGTGGGGATGGTACCGCTGAATATGTTGACTGTGGCGGTTGTTACCTAAAGCCACACTTGTGACAGAATTCCACAATTCCTTGCATAAAGCCCCCCTCTCTCTCTGTTTCTCTCTCTAGCACACACACACATATACAACATGCATGTCAGTCACACTCACAAAAAGAGTGGTGTGTGACTAGGCTCTGTGGATTCTAGCCTGTGAGGTTTATGCTATAGGGGCCGTGCGGATGCTGTGCGGCTGTGATGCGGGACACTGACCCAGCAGAGAACAACGGAGATGGGCCTGTAGGGAAGATCCCTGAATACCTCCTGTGGCTCTATAATTATCTCATAACAAACGTTCCATCCTCTCTGGAGAACTGAAGACCTCCCCAGACATCAGATGTCAACTAGTTGAGTGAATTTGATCTTTATTAAAGAACTCACTATGGTCTGCTTCTGGTTCTGCTTTTTTTTTTCTTTGTCCCATCTTTTTTGGCAAAGCGCTATAACAGTTGTTTAATTTGAGAAAAGATTCAAGGCTGTTCTAGAATTCAGAATATTGCTGAGTAAAATGTGTGGTGTATGTATGTGTGTATGTGCACGCGTGTGCGTGTATTGGTGGATTAAAACTGGCCTTTCCCGTCTGCCAGGTCTGAGATGGCAAGGAAGGCAGAAGAATTTGGTACAGAAGTTGACTGACCTACATTTTCCAGGACCTACATGAGACCTCTCTGTCTCTGTCTTACGTCATCTCAGCTGGTCTCTGCCCCTGTCTCCGTGTCTCCTTATTCCTTTCCTTGTTTTGGTTTCTGTGAGAGGACGGGAAAAAGGATGTCCCCTTGAAGCAGACGTCCCCTCAAGGCATACAGCTAAGTGAGGGGAATCCAGGCTGAGTTTTTTCTTTACAACCAGGCTCCATTGTATAGGGAGCAGCCTATAACTTGGCACGACAGTCACTGAGTGATAATTATACACCATTGTATAGGGAATTAATGAGGCCAGGTAGTGAGCGAGTGGTACAAGAAGCAATGATTGTGGGTGTGGTCACAGGACTTCTGGGAGGAGCAGAAGTCTGAATAAAGCCGTAAAGATCATTAGAATTCGGAGAGGCAGATAATGGAAAGAATAACCATTATCTAGATGGGGTATCTTGAATAGATTTCAGTCATCCAGGCATTCACCTTTCATCTTAGCACTATGGAGGATGAGATGGGAGGAATTCAACGAATAGGAAACCGCAATGGGGCTGTTTTTCTTATTCGTCCTTATGGATGTGTCACATGGCGACATGCTATGAAGGGAAGAGAAGGAGACAGGGAGAGAGGGTGGGCGTGTGGGCTTGAATATATGACTTCATCATATTTTCCCCACGACATCTTCCTATCTCTCAGTTGTATTGGAATCTTCCTATCTCTCATTTGTATTGGGACAGGATCTGCTGCGGAGCTAACAACTCAGAATGTCACTGGCTTCATGAAATAGTGAAGCATGAAGTTGAAAGTTCAAGGTGGGGCTTTATTGAGGAAGTACAAAGGTGACGAGACACTCAGCCTTAAGGGACACGGCTGAGTTCACTATGTTTTATTCTTATTTTATAAAGCAGGTGGGTGATCGCTTCAGGACATTTTACTCCCTGGGACAGAATTCGTTAGCAACCAAGCAAAAATATTTCCCAGGTCTCTGGACTCTTACCCCAATGCAGTGTCTACTGAAAAGAAGTTAATTACATTTTAAAATATCAAGCTTAATAGAAGAATGTGTGTGGTTTCTGTTTGAAGATTATAACATTTCTCATTTGGTGGATCCCAGCTTTACCATATGTGAATGTGAATAACACTTTGGAACTAGTTTTTTCTCTAATTTCATCTTAGAAATTAAAAGCTTTCATGACAAGAAAGTATATTGCCGCAGCGTTATATGAACTAAAAATCTGACAAAAAAGAACTAAAAATCTGGATATTGACATTTCCCACAAAAATCAACATTGGCATTAAAGATGCGCAGCCCCATGTGGGATCCCTTCCATTTCACACCCATCTCACCCACTGGCTAACCCATCTGACCTAAATAGAGCCTATTAGGGCCAGGGACCATCCTTCACCTCTGCAAACCATACTGTCCCACTCTGTCTCATGATAAATAGGTTTTTAGGGTGGTAACTGATTTCTATCACAGATGACTCTTAGCACCCTAATATGGGGTGGTTCATCACGTTCACCCTTTCAGAGGATGTATCTGACTTCAAAGGCAGAGGAGAAAAAAGATGAGAAATATGTTCTTCATTTGAATGTGAAGGTGCTCACCTAAATCCCAACCCTTCCACGGCAGGAGGACTGTGGAGAGTCAGAAGCCAGCTCAGGCTGCACAATGAGACTCTGGATCTAAATTGACAATACCAAAAAAAAAAAAAAAAAACCAAAACAAAAGAATCCCCAGAAACATCACACCAACAATTCCCCCACCCCAACCATGTTCTTTCTGGCCTTGGAATTAAAAATCCCCAGAGACTGGGAAATGCAGAGGAGCGAGGCCTTCAAGGAGCCAACTTCTCCTCAAGGCTGGAAAGACGAGTCCCTGGTATCGGGGATCAGATTATGTCTGGCTGGTGGAATGGGGTGGTGACATAGGTAAGAAAATTAACAAAGAAATGACTTACAGAAGAGTTGTAAAGCATGTATTGATTCTACTTATCTTGTAGACTGAGATTCATGCAAAGCACAGAGACAGACGTGTGGCGCTCTTCTGAGAACCACCAAGCGCACTGTTGCTTGAATGAAAATCCTGGAGTTGAGGCAAAGCGGGACCTTTACTTCTGTTTGAGAAGCTGCTGGGGAAGCACTAGGGAGACTCTCAGATGTCATTACTGATTTTGGAAATATCAACCCGTGCACCAGAATTAGAAAGGTTGTAGTTTTAATATTTCTTGGTTTAATACGAGACAGTCTGCAGAGAAGAGGAAGAGCAAGCTGATGGAGCTCTCCCAGTCCTCCAGGCTCAGTGTTCCATCCACCCCGATGGTGGGCTTCTGGAAGTTTCCCCTCAACTCACCTGACCACTATTACTTTCTGTGGGTGCTCTATATACGACATGCCTTGATCGAAGTCACAGTGAGTCACCCAGACTGCGAGGGCATGGGGACCTGCTCATATCCTTCCTTGTCTGTCTTGTCAGCTTTGGGACATGCAGTCTTAGAAGCTGAAAGAATGCAAAAGCAACCCCATTCTGCCTGTATGTTTATTCACAAGACAGAATTTACAGCCTACAATCTGAAACAGGTTTCCAAACACAAAATAAAAATTGGGAACAGGAAAGGTGGGAAGACAAAACATCTGTGTTCACATTTTCTTTGAGACTTTCTCATCCTTCTACCCTTTGTCATATTGCTGAGGAGGGCTACTCTATCGGTCAAGTGGAAGCCATGTACCTTCTTTCAGCATGAAGGAACTCAGTGTAGGCAACGGTAGGTGACCAGTAACTGACATTTACTAAAAAGCCCTTCCTTTCTGTCACTGAAGCAATACTCAAAAGTCCAGAGAGGGACTCTTTCCTCAGGAATATAAAAACAGAAAATTTGGGGTGAGAATTTCACTCCCACCCGTATGTTCTAAATCTTTAGGCTGTGCTAGGTCTCCAACATGCTGAGACTGGCTGTCACAGGAAGTCCTCAGCGATGTGAATGAACCTCCGCAGGATATCAAGGTAGGGAAGAATTTTCTGAACACAAACTCTGTAAATCGGACTCAAATTTTGTCTACAGTGCATTTCCCAGAGACAGATATTGGGTTAAAATTTTGTCAATGACTGTGTATCCACTTGGTGTGAGAAGAGACCCTCAAGTGCTATTAAACTGCTTAGTGATGGCAACCAGATGGAAAATAAGACAAAAGAATTCACAACTCATCTTAGACTGAATTGAATGTCTTTAATTTCACACAATGAATAACATATGAATAGGACCAACTTTTTTTTTTAATAGTTAAGTGCTCTGCACTGTGCTAACCTGATCTGGTAGCGAAGACACCGAGCGAGCTTTCTTTTAGAAAAAATGTTTAAAACCCAACATCTAAGACCATGGGAGAGCATGACAGTAAAGCATGCCAGATGTCGCTACGCCTCAAATGACAGCAAGTCCATGTTCATTTAAATGTACAAAAATGCTTTATGAATAAAAACTGTTACAAAAAGAACATTTCAAACAATGTACAATTTTTCTTGCCTCTATATTCAATAAAATACAAATACATTTTTGTTCTAAAATATGTTTACATACAATCAAAGTAGGACATGCAAATTACACTTTAAAAAAGGCTTTTAAAAACCACTTATGAATACAAACTAAAAATTAGCCAGAAGGACTTGTAAGACAATCTTGTGCCCATTTTTTGAAATATATATGTACATATTTAACACATCATGTGCATTTATTATTATTTAAGAAATAGATTTTTTTTAAAAAAAAAAAGGAAGAAAAAGAAAGACACCAATCCAGGGCAGAACTACCCTTCCAAGTTGACCAGTAGGCAGCTCTTCGATTTCCCCCTCTTTAGTGTTTATTATACCTGGGCAAGTGGGAGACAGATATCCAGGAAGTTTCTTCCTTGGTTGATATGTGCTTCTGTGACTGTTCCCCAAGTGACTGAGTCCAATAGGGAAGGCAGGCTCCTCAGTGGGGTGAACTCTTTTAGAAACACGAGGCAGAGGGAGCCTTGCTTTGTGGAAAGAAACGTGAAGAAACACCAAGAAGATGCTACGGTATGTTACAGTTTGAGTTTCTAGGCACTGTGATGACATTATCTGTAAGCGCTGGCATTTGGACCATTGTGATACGATAGGGTAGTGTTGAGGAAAATGTCTATATTTATGTACTGTTACATAATGAGCAGGACAGAAAATCCTGCGACATAACACTTAAATGGCTTTTGAGGCATTTCGGCTCCTGCCACTCCCTGTCTATGCTACAGTTGGCATTTAAAGGCTTTGGAAATATCTGTATAGACTTTAGACAGTTCCCAGGTCAACCTGCCTGGTGATAGGGAAAAGCACACTCCACAAGCCCGTTATCTTATTATTGGAGAATAACAAGCCAGGAGTAAGATTTTCTACTTAAGTCCTAATACCAAACCCTTTACCATCAGCTTATAATATACCACCTTATACTATAATTCTGTCAACACTTGCTTATCATAATTATAGATACAGCAATGTGCAGAACACAAATGTTGACTGCCATCGAACATGGCCTCCCACTGCAGCCAGCAGCCAAGTCACCTCTTGTAAAACACTCCTCTACTGCCAGCCCCTAGTCACCTCTGCTAGGCTGCCAGTGGCTGCTGAGTCCTGGTCCTGCTGAGTCACAAAGCAACCCTCCATGCTTTCCCTTCCTCTGACCTTTCTTCCTAGACTGGTGGCCACAGTGGGGCTATTTGAGGAAGTTAAACTTCTGTTCCTCTCATTTGAGATGAGGGGTCGAAATGCAAATGGCTTTCTAGTCCCTTGGAAACGCAAACTGAAGACCCATCAAGCGCCTCCAAGGAGCGTTTGCACATAAGTTTCACCTTCTCATCTCTAATTGGTCTCCTTGTAGTGTAAGTGGGGCTCTACTTACTTGTTGAAGGAGTATTCTAAAACGAAGAGAAATTAAAAGCCAGGGATTGTTACAAAATATTTTGTTGGTCTGTAAATGGAGTCTTGAGGATTCCAAATGACACCTCTCAAAGTAGAAATGCATCCCCAGAAGGCAGTGTTGTGTGGTTAAGAACCTCCATAATTTAAATCAAGAGCTGGGTTCTCTTCTTGGCTCTAAAACCAACTAGATGTGGAAGTTCAATTGGTTTCATGGAGGGACCTGGCCAGCAAAGGAGAAGGTAAGGGGGTAGTTAGGAAATGCAGGAGTTGTAGCAATGCGATGAGTAAGGTTCATGGAAAACGAAAAGAAAAAAGTACGCAGCAGCGAGGGAGTCACGGGGCGTGGGGAGCCATTGTGTGGATGAATGGGCTCACTTCCGCGTGCCAGCTGCTCTATACCATAGCTCTCTTAGGTCCCCTAGTTTTCCAAACACTTTTCTGAGTTTGTGAACAGGGATTTGCATTGGACTCACATTTCACTCCGGGGTCAACAGTACACCCCAATTCATGTGTTAAGTTGCAGGTCCACTAAACGTTTTTAAAATTGGTTTTGAAATTCTAACCCAACCTTATTTTGAGCTAATCACTGATAGCAGGTTAATACCATGAAATGTGGGGTGTTCTCCGAGCTCTCCGTCCTCTGGGAGGAGGGTCAGACTGCTTATAGGCTTGGTTGGGGTGCTGTACACTACAGCAAGAATGAATGAAGGAGGAAAGAAAAAAATGGTTTTCAAAGTCCAACAGGAAGAGAACCCTCTTTATGGCTTAATTGGAATGGGAATGGCTGCTCTTTCGTAGCAATGGTTGGGGGAAAGGGGCTGATCTCTGCCTTCCTCCCTGTGACTTTGGAGCTGCTCAGACATGGCTCGGGAGTGACAGATTGAAAATGGCTGTTTAGATTTCGCTGTTCAAATTACGTGAAATGCCATAGGTCAACCCAGGTCATAAACGGAATATCTAGGATAAAAGCGGGAAACAAGCACAGTCCTTTAAACGTATGTATTGCTAGGATTAAATGAGACTGACCGCGCAGGCGCCAAATGACATGAAGTCCATTTCGACAGTACAGAACAGGATGGCTCTGTGATCCCAAGCGACTGCTGGAGCTGCCACACAGCAGTGATATTTACAAGCATATTAACTTGGGATTTTCAAATTTCCTTCAGTCCTCAGTACCCCAGTACTACCCACTTATTCACGTATGTTACCCCCCCAAAATCCATCTCTCTCTGAGGAGGAGAAACTATGTCCTGAAGTGATACTGCGGTTTCTTAACCGATCTCAACTTAAACTGGAGGTAAACCAGGTATCCTAATTCTCCCTAGAAAGTGAAAATCGCTGTGTTTCCTTTTGTGCAAGCTACGTTTGCCAGGTATTTGATGTCTTGAAGAAGTCAAGGGGAGGAGTAAGGGAGGAGATTGAAAAGATTTATTTGAAATGTCCACATCGGACTTTTAGAAACACCTGCGGCAGGGGGATAGGATCGCATTCATTCTGAGCCTTCACATGTTTTGCTCGGGCTTTGGAAATGGATGATAGACGGAAATATCTGTCCACACTAAACCATGGCTAGAGAACAAGGCGGATGAGAAATGTACAGTTGAAATTGACCATTTAAAAGACGATTTGTCACACACAGTTTGCATCCATGCAGACTGATAGGTCTATAATTACATTATGTACAGCAACGCTTTAGTGTATTAAGGCAACCACAGTTTGGATACTTTGTCCAAGGTGGCTTGATACAATTGGAGTGGTGCCACCCTTTTGATACCTTTTTATTTTTTATTTTTTTGTTTTAGATAAGAACACTTACTCCCCTTCAGTTTTAAGAAATAATTATTAAGAGATAATGGACCTCTACTGTCTGTCTGTCTCCCCCCCCCCCAACAACCTCCGCCAGCTCTTTGCATGAGAATAATCAGGTACCAAGGCATTGTTAGATGGTTTTCTTTCTGGTGGGTGTGAGATTTTGAAATTTGGTGGCTTATCAGTTATTCCACTTGCTGTGGGGTATTCAAACCATTTTATCCTGCCTATGTGTCACTGGTATGTTTTAAGTATAAAAATAACCTGGCTGACGCTTGGGTCAACATCTCCCTTGGCTGCTCCGAGTCACTTACTAAAAAGCTTGTATCTATACTGAGTTACGTTTCACAATGATTGGGATTCAAAGCCGTTCCCTTGAGGCGGAGCGCCAGGACAGCACGGGTCAAGTTCACATTGTTTAGATGTGTACCACGGAATAGAAGGCAGCTAGTTAACGGGAGTACATGAAAACACACGCAAAGGAAAAGCAGGAACAGACAATGCAAAATCAGTGTACGTGACAGGAACACGAGCAGATCTAAGGTCGCCTATCAGTCCAATTCCACCTTCCGATCACAAGAGTCCATTTGAGCCACTGTGTTGGTAACGGAAAGACGCATCTTTCGGGTCACTTGTAGATAATGTTGGTGCCCCAAAGCCTAGCCGAGTTTGCAAACCAAAAGAAAGAAAAGCCGATTTCGAGGAAGTGGCTTGCAAGCCAGCTGGTAAACCTGTAGCTTAGCTCCCCCTTGGAATGTTTGCTAGTGGAGGACGTTTCCCATTTGATTTTTTTTCTGACCAGCAAATGAAATCGGAATCAAGGGTGCACCTGGGATGAGGTGGAGGTCAGGGGTCAGGTGGCCATCAGAGAGTACCAGCTTTACGCTCCTCCTTCTTCTGCAGACTGCTAGGATCCAGCCACGCCGAGTGGCTCTGGGTTGGGAAATGTTGTGTAGCACAGACAGCTGCTTTTGGGGGGCTGTCCCCTTGCTCTGCTACCCCAAGGACTTCCATGGTTCCACCCTGCCCTCTGCCCTTCCTGCCTGCCCACTGAAGAGAGGGGCGGGGTGTCCCTGTGGCAGGGCATCGGCCCCACCCTGGCTGCTGACCTCCCCTGCATCAGTCCCTGCCTGGATCCTGCAGCCCAGGCCTGCCCTAGGGAAGGACATCACTCTCGCTGGCTCGAGATTTCCTTGACCTTTTGGCCTTTACCTCCTCTTCCTGGGGAAGGGGCTGTGGTAGGGGCTGCGGGGGCTGCGCTGGGGGCTGCGGTCTGTGTTTCCTCTTCCCGCCCCGTACGGTCTTGGGCAGCGGTGGCGGTGGTGGGGGTGGAGGTGGGGGCGGCGGCAGCGGTGGTGGCGGCGGAGGGGGCAGTGGTGGCGCCTCCCGTGCCATGTGGATGACAGCTTCGATGGTGGCCATCACAGCATCCTGGCTTGCAGCCGGCTCCAGCACAAGTGGGCTCAGGCTAGGCTTCTGGCCTCTCTTGCTGGGTAGGTCGATGCACTTTTCCAGCACGGGCATTTGGTCTCGGGAGTCCTCATCGAACTGCGTGGGCTGCTTCCGAGGCCGGCCTCGCCTCTTCTTGACGAAGTTGTTGCCAGTCTTTGATTGTCTCTGCAGCCGCTTGGCCTTCAGGATCTTGTTCACGTGGTCCAGATTCTTCTTGGTGGACAAAAGCTTGGTATAGTGACACATCTTCCGCACTTCGCACTGGATGGCTTCAATCTCCCGTCTCTTGAATCGTTTCTTCAGCGAGGAGCTGGCTGCAGGAGACAAGAGGGGAGAGGTTGAGCTCATGCCGGCCACATATTGTTTCTCTATTTAAATAGAAAATAATAAAAACATTGACTGAACAAGTCATGTATGAAGCATTACTTACATTTATTATTATTATTATTATTATTATTATTATTATTACTTTTATTATTATTTCTGTCCTCATGGTTATGTAAAATATTATGGTTGGTACTTTTATTTCATTTTGTGTTTCTTAAGACCGGGTCTTGTCATGTAGGGCAGACTGTCCTCGAACTTTAGATCCTTTTGCCTCAGTCATCCTGAATCCGGGTAAATGAGCCTTTTAATGCCATCTTCGACTCCCCCCTCCCTCCTCTGTTTTAAAGATAAGAAAACCGAGTCTCATCTCTCTCTCTGGGTTCTTAGAAAGCACAATGTAAGTTTTTCATTCCATTTCTTCTTCTTTTTTAAAATTGAGCCCTTTGACATTAGACCAAATTCGGTTAAGCATTAATTGATAATTTACCTTTGTCTGACCTTGAACGATTACACATGGCACACCCACATCATTCAATGAGGTCATACAAAGGTACCAGGGCTCTGATGAGCAGGCTTGACAGGATTTAGAAAGCTGTGGGTGCAAGATTTTGTTCTAACTTCTTCCCGGTGTGTGTGTGTGTGTGCGTGTGCGTGTGCGTGTGTGTGTGTGTGTGTGTGTTTGTGGGTATGCCTGAATACTACAGTTGGGATGGTGTGGTCTCTTAATATTTTCCTGCCAGTATTCTGGAGCTGTCAAGTTGCCTGATGATGCCCAATTAAGCAAGCTCTTCCTAGCCCTCACCCTCTGGGGACCTCAAGGGCAATATCCGCCAGGTGTTTCTCAATGGTTTACACTCTCCCACTGAACAGTTGTTTGCGAAGGGCCCTTTTCATGTGCTGCCGGCCAGATGCGCCTTTATTTTACGAGCCTCAGTTCTCAGGAAGTCCTGTACGGTGGCACTAAATGGCCTTCAGAACTGCTTCGTTTTGAAGTTCAGACACCATAAAGTGTCAATGGCTTCAAGACAGAGGCAGCCTTTTGCCCCTGGATCATTCTCCAGTTATTGTCTGCGAGCAGACACATATGTATGTAATACCTGTGTGCTGGCACACACGCATCTGTACCTACGTGTGTTTGTACGCAAAAGCAGGCACACCGTTCAGCCGTTGTGCTGGCCGCTAGTCAGCTACAGAGACTTAAGTCTCTCCTCACTGAATTCTTTGCTGTGGTGACTTGCCTTATGTGCCCAACCCCAAAGAAGCCCACTTAAAAGGGAACATATTTCATATTACTGTGTTGTTTCTTATGCGCTCCCATGACTGTTTTTTTTTTCTTTTTCATCTATTGGTTGAGAGAATCTTAAGAGAGAGAGGACAAAAATATGCTTAGCCCTTGGCCCCTCTCTCGCTATTCTTGGGCAGCCCCACTTCATTCTTTCCCTGCTGCCCCACTTCTCCCTCATGCTGGGGTCCATCACAGACTTCCAGGAGGGTTTTATTTGAAGTTATTTATGCGACTAGCTTCATGGAGTGGGAAGCGCTGAGTTCCATAGGCCAGGTCAAACTGCCACCGCTTTGGGCCAAAGGTCAGCCAGACTGACTGAGCAATGAATAACTACTGAGCGATCTTTAAAATAAGTTATAAAGATCAAAATGGAACAAAGCCAGAGTGCGCTTCTGACTAGAAAAATAAAACTTCTGTAGTTAGTCTTGTAAAAAGAAAAGGTGCCTCAATTATCGGTTCCCGTGTGGCTTTGTGTCACGCACGGGACCTCGCACGGTGCCTCCTGAATGGACAGGATTGAGAGTTGCTTCCTCGGTGGCGAATCCGACTACTCCTCGCTGTCTTCTGGTCACATCCTTTGAACGTGTTCTTGTTTGGATTTTGAAGGCAGCATTGCAAATCCAGCAACATTGGGAGTTTGTTATCAGGCCTGGTCAGAGACAAGCCGTGTGCTTTGTTCATAGAGATTCTGAGCAAACCAGTGTGGTTAGAAATAGGCCACTCTGGGCATCATTTAAAAGACAGAATCCATGTGCAGCTTCCCTCTCTTTAGTTTCTACCATCTATCAAGGAACTACCTGATCTAGAACCCACAATATGAAGGTACTAATATTGCAGACCTATAATACAGCAAGGTATTAATAAGTCAATGATTTTATTAGCTGTACTATCTCACTGAGTAAAACTTGACAGAAACATGAACTAGAGACTCAGATGGGGGCAAATACAATCTTTAGATGGCTCCTCTTACCTTCCCGAGTGAAATGCCAAAAATAAATAAATAGACAAACAAATAACTCTCCAAACTATTCTCAAAATAACCCAAACCTGACAATCTCATACATTTTTCTGTGTGTCATATAATTTTTAATCTAGCCCTTGCATTGAGAATGGTTATGGAATAATTATGAGAGTGTAAACTCACCAAATGGTAAGACTAAAAACAGCAACAGCAACTTTTATGCCCACCATTTGCATTTAGTTAACATTCATCGTGTATTTTATTTGCTTTAATTGATTAGTACTTTCTGAGATCAGATCTTGCTATGTTGATCAGACTGGCGTTTGACTCATACTCCTCCTGCTTCCTCTGGCTTGCTGGCTACAGTTATGTGCACCTTGCCTGCACTGTATTGTTTTTTGGAGAAGGGGCACATAGATTGCAGAGTCTTGGCTCCATTCTTTTTTCCATTACCTTCCCACTTTCCTTTACCTGCTAGGATGCTATTTTCATTGCATGAATGAGCATAGAGAGGAAGAATTAAGTCTGAAACCACACCTAATATTGGCAATGATATGAGGAGCCCAGAACATTTGTAGATTGTTAGCAGGGGTATAAATCGGTCCATCATTTTGGACAGTAATGGTGCAGTAATTTCAACTTCTAGGGAGAAACATACAAGCTCAGAGATCTAGTGTTTGCATGTCAGGATCAAATACTTCACTTATTTGAAAGAAGAGGCAAAAAGACTTAGAAGAGGCTCCCTCAAAGACCAGTGAATGCTATGAGAGAATGAAGAAAACATACATACTAAGGAAAAGCTACTGACTCAATGATAATATATTAAAAGAGCCATATATTTACATATGTATATGACAAGATGAATATAAGGTAAGCAGCATGATTATGTTTGAAAAACTGAACGAAAAGTCAAATTGCAAAAGATTTTTAAATAAAGAAACCATTTCTATCAATGTAAAGATACACGTCTTTGAATTTTATTGCATCTTCAGGATTCAGCTAAAAAGCTTACAGTGGCTACTGTGAATGAAAGTCTTGGTGAAGGCAGAGTTTTCAATATTTATTTTCCTCCAAAGTTATTTCATAAAAGGTTACAAAGCTTCAAAACTTCCCAGCAGAAGTTATTGAAGGTTAAAAATATCCTTGATCTGGGCCCAGTGTGCTGGCGCACACCTGTAATCCAAGAACTAGTACGGGCAGGAGGATCAGGAAGTCAAGGGACTGCTTGGCTATACGTCGACACTAGCTGAAATATGTAGGAAAGAGAAGGCGGACACAGAGAAGGAGGGAGAGGAGAACACCACCAGCAGCAAAAAAAATCAACAACTAAAGGAGAAGAGTTTACACTCTTCCATGCCAGCTGCTAGTGAGATACAGCAACCAGCGCTCAAGGGCAGCAACAATGGTGAAGAAACTGAATACTTCGTTCAATGTTAGTAGCTATGATGGGACTAACGGCTACTTCCTTGGCAGCAGGGCTGTCAACTGAACAGCAGTGAAATACCAAAGGTAAAAGGTATTTGGGGATTCAGTCAAGAATAGAAAGTTGTTTATGAATTCAAAATAACTTGGTGTCCCCCTCCCAATTCATTTGGATGAGTGGAAAACTAACTATAACATAGAAGAGATAAAATAATCTTATTTGAATATCAATTTAATAAAACTGCTAAAAGAGACCCTGAAATAAATCTCAAATGAAACCCTGCCTGGGCATTCATTTCTTGGTATAATTGTTGTTAATTTTCTTAGGTGTAATCATTGTGTTATGATCAATTTCTTGTTATTCAGTGCCTTGTCTTTTAGAAATGGATTAAAATACTTGTGAGTGAGGAAATATGAAACTATCAGAAACTGGCTTCACAATAGGAGGAGGGGAAGTAGGGAGAAGCATTGCAGGAGCATGACTGATCAAGAGCTAAGACCGTTGAAGGAGAGTATTGGTACATAAGGTTTAATAATCCAGTATATGCTTGATGGTTTTCAAAATGCAGGCTTCAAATTATGAATGATTAGAGGCAAAAGTGCATCTCTTGGAATATTAAGGCAGGGATCGCTATAGCTCTCATCCTCCTAAGGGTTCTATTCACATAGCATTGGAAGAAAGAGAGAGTCCCCGTTTCTCTGGCAAGTCACAGTGCTTCCTGGATTAATGACACGGAACAATGGTTTCTCAGGTTTATAGTGCGCCAATCTCAATCATTCCCTGAGCCCACCTTTATTTGATGCTGGGTATTATAACACTATCCCTCTCTTTTGTACGCTAGGCTACTCGGGGTTCCTACATGTGCAGAGCACCTGAAGCTTGTGTTTATTATCCAAACTTTCAGTTAAGAATCGGTGTTCCTTAGACAACAACAGAGTGAAGCCAGGCTGATGTGACGTTGCTCGGGGACGCTGGAAATGAAGGTGCACGACTCTCCATGGGGCTTTCTGATGCTATCCTGGGACTGGGAACTGAACAGTCTTGAAGTTTTTCTGGATTTAAAGATTGCCATAATTCTTTCCTACATTTATTATCAATTGCCTTCCCCAAATGTGGGATGGCTTTCTGAATTCTGTTTCTCCTCTAATAAATTTGAAATCTCAGACTGGGAGAAGAGTACGTTAGACTTGGCAAGGTTTGGTAGTCACAAATCTTTCTCCTTATTGCTTATGATTTCACTGTCTCTCTAAATGTTTACAGATTTTTCTCTCTTCAAATTGTTTCATTATTGAACAGTAATTTCTGGGATCCTGCTGCA